GCATGAAGAGAAGTTCCCTCAGGCTTTCATTAGTGTTGGTAAGAACCTGCATTTTATTTCTTTCATGGGAAAATGAGTGGCTTAAACTGGAGATAGAACTAGTTTCAACCTATCATTTCAAGGTAAGCCTGGGTTTCTTAAAGAGGGGGTATTTTTTTTTAGCTTTCTACCATGTTATAACTTTGTTCTTTCATCAAAAACATGCCTGAAGAGGTCTTAGATATCATGCATGTTTAAGTATTTTAGCGATCTCTCCCGGGCCCTATTCTTCCTTATGGTTAGCTGTCTGTGCAAAGCTCAGCCCATAAACCTATGTCACCCACGTTCCAACATGACTCCATAAAAATGCAAAACTGTACACAACAACTTGATAAACCATATTCTAAATGCAGTAGTTTCATTAAACGGAATGCACGCTGTCTATGTTGTGATGGAGCTCTGAAGGAGGAATGGCTTAACACAGACAGCCAAGAGAGGGAAGACTAAGAGCATCAAAAACAAAACTTTTAAAAAATGTCAATACATTGTTTTCACTGAATATAGCATTTCCAAAACAATAAAAGGTAACATGGTGATCTAAATATGTTTTCTAGAATAAAAGTAAAATTAAGCGACATTGATGGAACACCTCCTAAGTGACAGGAAGTATTTTGACACAGTTTCCTTAATACTTTGGACCAACTTCCTCCCAGACTCATTTTACCTCCATATAAAGAACACTGGTTTCCTCTACAATAACCACTGAATAGCTGTTTTTGGCAGAAACCATGAATAATTGACACATCATCTGACAGGTCTACGCACAGAGGAAGCCGCCTTTGCTCCGTAGTGCCACGCTGGGCTCTTGGTTTCCTGGGTACCCCTGTGTGGGCCTTCGGAGCCAACCCGCTGGCATGTGGGCCCCAGCGCTGACATGTTTCCCCTGGGCACTGTTGACCCAAAGCCCCTCTCCTGGCTGCTCCTCAATGATGTGCTTTGCTCAGCTGCTTAAACACCAGTGGAGGCGACAAAGGGCGGCGATTGTTGTGAGGCCCCAAAAATGCTTGAACCCCCGTGAATGAGGGGACAGGGAACCAGCTAAGACCAGATCCAAACCACTTCTGGACATTCGAGGCTCTGTGCAGCTCCCTGTTACGGATTTACGGAGGGGAGGATACTGACACTGAGCTACAACTGCTCTGTAACAATAAAAGTGATATATTCTAAATAAGTATGTTTATTGACCTTTAGTATGCTCCAGGATACTTGGGCTGTGGTCCCTGAGTTGTTAAGTTGATTAAGTGATAGTGTCTTAGTTAGGGATGCACGGATCCGATACTGGTAGTGCAGGTTGGTGCCGATACTGACAGAATTTCCTGAATATTGGCTTCCAATTATCGGTTCAGCCAATATCCTGACTGGACATATAAACTGATGTAATAAAACTATTTCCTGGTTGTTGTTGGACCAGAACGTCTCATTATGTTAGAATTTTTATTTATACAAAACTGTTAAGTAATTACAAGGTTAAATAACAGCTACATGACACATTTGGATCAGTTTTGTCTTATTTTGTATTTTGAGGTAAATGCAGTTTTCACTCTCTGCTCTGGTATTGGTTGATATTGGGTATGAGCAGATACTCAAAGCTAAAGCATCAGCATAGGTATAAGAAATGAAAAAAGCTGCATAGTCTTAGTTTACAGAAATTTGTAGCTCAACTAAATATTTTATCAAAATGATGAGGGCTTTTATGAGACAAAAGCAGAATGGAAAATGCATGGAGTGAGCCAGCTGAAAATTTAGGAGTGAATCATTTAGTAAATAAATAAATACACCAGTAATTTTCTGTGTAAATTGTTATTTTTTAAATGTACTCCAGTGTAATTGTGATCTTTTAAGTGCAGTTTGGGTCAGATACATAGAGATTGTAATAGTTTAGATTTTCTCTCAATTGATTGGCAAGACATGTCTTTCTTTACTCGACCAAGAGTTTCTTTAGTTGACTACAGCTCTATAGGATACTGCATACAAATTGGATTAATCTATAGATCTTTGATGGTATTCATTGACAAACTATCAGCCGTGAGAAGTCATGACTGCCAAGCACAGCTTAAAGTAAAAAAGAAACTCCTTTGAGATTTAGTCTTTGTTTTGCTTTGGGGCTCAGACTTACAGTCACTTTACAATCTTCTGTCCTCAGGTCCGGCCAAATCTGTGTTTTTTTTTTTTACTCTCTCTTCAAGATTTAAGATAAATTTTCCTTTTTTGTTGTTTTAATTTTCATTTTTGGAAATCATTTTAAAGGCATCTTAATTCTTTTGCTGATTTAGTGATTAAACTCATGATCATGAAACAATATTGAACATGTAAACGTGGGTATCACTAATAAATAGGAATGTAACAATAACCAAAATATCATGATACTGTATCGTCAAAGTTCTCACAATAATATCGTGGACCATCACAATATATCGAATTTTAAGTCTCTTTGCTTAAATTAAGACTTAAAAAGCTTAAAAAAAAACAGAGGAAACTACATAGACCATGATCCTTTGCTCCATTTCAGTGCAGACTAAAAGAAGAAATAATAATTCTAAACACTTTTAAGTTTTAGTTCTTTGGATTAAGTCTTGTCAAGGCATTTTAAGAGGAAAAAGCAGCATATTAACAGTTTTGTTAGCCTCCACAAAATATTGCAATAAATATCGTACCGTGAGATGTATATCGTGAAAACAAAGAGATTTAAATATCGTTACATCCCTAATCGTGAGCCTCCCCACCATATCGTGAGCTTCCCCATGATATCGCAATAAATATCGTACCGTGAGATTCATACCATGACGATATCGTATCGTGAGACTTGGATATCTTTACACCCCTACTAATAAATATTAATAACACGCATAACATAACATGCTCATCAGTGTCTGGGACTTAACCCGGAACTAATCCAGGACTAGAATAGGAAAACTGGGTTCAAACCAGTACCAAACCATGAACAATAATGCCACCATGTTTTTTTTAACTGGTACAACTCACCTCATCATCTGAACTGATTTATCAGATTTGTCATTGCAAAAGTTGATGGTTGTTTTGTGAGACTTGAGATATTGCAGTTTCACATTGTGTTAAAAGCTGTAACACAGGCTGCATTCGCACTTGCATGCACACCTCATCAATAACTAACCCAGAAATAGTACAGGACCAAAGCAAGTCTACATTAAGGTTAAGGTACACTTTATTGTCTCCTCTTTTGACCCATTCTTCAATACTGCTGGGGCATTTCCTCAGCAGTAGTGAGCCCTGTGGTGCCACACCCCGGGACCCATCTCCATGATCTTTTTGCTGCTTGGTGAGGACTACCTTAGCTGGAGGATTTGTGCATTTTTTGAGTTCAGCGCTAAACTGGGTTCAAACCAGGACCAAACCAGAAACAATAACACCACCATGGATTTAGTACAACTTTAGTTCATTTTTCACCTTCACTTGTAATTACTTCTCATTGTATTATTGCTGAATACCACCATTAATCACCTCATCATCTGAACCTGTCTATCTGACTGTTGCTGTGGGGCTGTAGCTTGGGTCAGGCCTCGGGGTCGTACAAACGTGGCTGGGCAGCAAAGCACAGAGCACAATGGGAAGTGTTGTTGGCATTTCCTGGGAACGAGCCTCTAAACAGTGCCGCTTTGTGCCAGGCGTCATTATCCAAACCGGGCCCCCCCTTTGGCACTGCTCCTCCAGGCCACTCCACAAGCTCAAAAGGTATTCCTCTGGAGCCTAATTGAAAAGACGTCACCTTGAACTGAATGAGTAAAAACATTGAATGTGCAAAAACGCAGACGTCAGCGATGGGGGAAGGAAGGAGTAATCTCGAGCGCGGCGAATCAAGAAACAGAACGGTGCTGTCAATCGCCAAATCGACCAATCACAGGCTGAATTAAGGAAGGGATGGGGGGGTAAAGACACAGCAGGAGGTACGGCGGCTGGGGTGCCTCTTCAGCGACCATGGGGAGTAGACATGTAAACAATAGGCAAGAGCAATAAGAGCGATCAAAATACTGGGTTCTGTTTTGGGATTTGGCAAGTTCAGATTTGCAAGACAATTTTTGAACAGTTTTTGATCATTTAATCTCTTTACACATAAAGAGAAGGTATTTCGGTTGCTGCTAAAAAGGGTTGAAGTAACAATAGCCTTATACACTGCCCGGCCAAAAAAAAAAAAAAAGTCACACAATCTAATATTTAGTTGGACTGCCTTTAGCTTTGATTATGGCATGCATTCGCTGTGGCATTGTTTCGATAAGCTTCTGCAATGTCACAAGATTTATTTCCACCCAGTCTAATTTTTCACTAAGATCTTGCACTGATGAGAGTCTGACCACTGCAGAAAGCCTTCTCCAGCACATACCCAAGATTCTCAATGGGGTTAAGGTCTACACTCTGTGGTGGCCAATCCATGTGTGAAAATTATATTTAGGCTCCCTGAATCACTCTTTCACAAATTGAGCACAATGAATCCTGGCATTGTCATCTTGGAATATG